CCCATAAGGGTTTAGTATCGCGGCCTCACCGGGAGGATGTCTTAGGATATGTAATCAGGTAAGAGAGATTAACCTTAAGTGTGATAAAAATTTACAATAAATGGCAATCGATGGTCAAACAATTAAACGATACTGTTAGAGATTGATTTGTTGATTGTGCTTAGATACGATTGTATATGCGCTAAGTTAATGGTAACTATGTCAAACTTTTCTTTCGCGGCTGTATAATGAAGAGAAATTAGATGGATTAATAACAATAAGAATATATCAAATAGATATGTGTCCCAAACTCTTAAGTCGAAAGAAATTTTTTTTGCATAAAATCTTTGATTTTAATGAGTTTGAATCAGGATTTGTTAGAGCTTGAAGCTAAAATAAAAATTTGAAACATCAAAAATAGTAAAACAATAATTTTACAATGTTAAATTAAAGTATCTAATAAAATCTCATAATTCGGTCAATATTTTTCGAATGCTATTGTGGATTAGTCATTCATTAATATCTAAATTCGATAGCAAATGATTGTGAAGAGTAAAAGTCGTCAGGCAGCTCAATCGAGAGTGTTGATCCATCATGAGAGTAACTGTTACTGGATAAAAATTGTCCATTGAGATTTATCTTTTTAGGTTGTTCATGGAGTCCCGAAATTGTAACACCTCCGACTCTGTAATCATCGAATTCCGCCATATTCCTATAACTGCAGACTAGTCGTTCCTAAAGATTTCAAATAACAAACGAAACAAGACGAAATTCAAATTAGTGATAAAATTAATGAAATTATCGTAGTGTATAATGTACTTACTTTGTTAGCTTTGCAACTTGCGTGAATATAATTGCCAGCTTCAATACTGTCAACCGATTTACCATCATCATGGTAAATTTCACCAACTGCATTTCCTGACCTATCGAGGTAAGCATTCAAATAGTATTTTTGTTTTCTGAGCTCAGCAGTTGTGTTTGCTGAGTTTTGATACACAGGCACGATTGATCCTCCTCGCATGAAAAGACCAATTTTGTCATTGTCAATCGTTATAGTTTTGGTTTCACCAGTACTGTTAAATGCTAGTTTTTTATCATCGAAATTATACCAAAGTTCATTTGGGAAGTAAGCATCAACTTGAGTTTTTTGAGCTTCCAGAACTGGGACAATATATAAACTTGAACCCCAAAGGAAAGCGGTTTCAATTGCATAAGTATTTTTATCCAAAGGAAATTCGAAAAACAGTGATCTAACAACAGTATCTCCATTCATGTTAGCTTTAGCAAATAAGGTGTAAAGATATGGCAATAGTTTGTAGCGAGCGCCCAAGGCATATTTAGCTGCAGCGACAACAGTTGGTCCTAAAATGGCTGGATCTTGCTCGGTTCCATGAATGTCGTTGTGATTACGCGAAAATGGGTAGAAAGCACCTAAAAAAAAAGAAATAATAAATTAATTAAATTCAAGAAACACCCAAATTGATGAATCAATTACCTAATGCTGACCATCTCATGCAAAGCTCTACCTCAGTATTACCATTGAAACCGCAAATATCACTTCCAATCATGGGAATTCCATAAATATTGAATTCAAGCATGTCTAAAGAAAATAAAGTTAATTATAGATTATATGTGAAAATTCTTGACCATTTTGATTAAAATTACTTGAAATTGAATATTTCATATGATCCCAAGATGATTGAATATCTCCAGACCAGTGAGAAGCATAATGACCCTGTGAAGGGTAAGTTGAACGAGAAAGAATGAATGGCCGAGCTCCAAAAATATCGAGAGAAGCCCTGTAAATTAAGCATAAGTATAAATGAGGAATGTTTATAAATGTACATGAAACAGTAGAGAAAAACTTACTTGTAGGAGACAACATTTTCGTAAAGTCCGTAAAGATTATGAAGATTGTAATGAATACCAAGGTGTTGTTTGGCAGTCATACAAACTGTTCTGGATCTGAGATTATTTCCACCGGGTTTATAGGGCGGGTTTTCATAAGGATCGTTAGGACATCCATTGAATTGACCATCCAAGAAGTTAGATGGTTCATTCATGTCAATCCAAATGCCATCAAATTCAACTTCCTTTCGCAAGTTCATTAATTGGTTCTTCCAATAATCAACTGTAGCTGGATTGGTGAAATCAGGATAAGCAGTTGACACAAGATTCCAAACTTTGGCGACAAAAATTTGATTAGTGGTATTTTTGATAAAAATATCAGCCTTAACTCCATCGTCATATGGTGGATATGTTCCAGCTGGTTCCGCAGCACTAACACCAGGATCCTAAATAATTAAAAATAAACCGAAGATAATGAAAAATTACAATACGAATAAATTAGCAATCAATAGGAAATAAAGCCTCTTACCAAAATAATGACATAATGCATATTCTTAGAATGCAACTCTTTGACAAAATCACCAAGACCAGCAAAATTGTTTTTATCATAAGTAAAATCGTTGTAGCGATCCATGTAATCAATGTCATTCCATTGTGCTTCGACTGGAATTCCAGCAGCTAAATTTCGGTCCAATGTTTCGCGAGTTTTAGCCAAACTATTGTAACCGTAACGACAAAGATGAAATCCGAAAGCCCATTGAGGTTGAAGTACTGGTCGCCCAATAAGATTGACATTCTGTCTAACAACTTCAGGTGCTGATGGACCCAAGAAAATGAAAAAGTCAAGAATACCACCAACAGTTCGATAAGTGATAGCTGGAGCAGCTTGAGTAAGAACGTCCATGGCATTGCTGTTGAGCAAAAATACTCCATGGGCATTCATTTTATCATCACCTTCAGGCATTATGTAAAATGGATAAGAACCATAGAGGTTGACATTTTCAGTTGGACCAATATCACGGGCAAACATTGTGTATCGATTCCAACCAGTCAAATCTTTCTTGAAAGGAGCTTTATGCTCACCAAGACCATAAAGATAGGTAGAAGGGACGTGAACATGTAGTTGAATATATTTATCAGCGTAAATCAGTGTTGAAAGATCAGCATTAAATATGATAGTTCCAGTTGATGCTCGGCTAATTTGCAATTTTCCATCATCATTGATTTTAATTTTGTACAAAGGTGATTTAATCTGTTCTGCTTTTGATAAATTGAAAAAGGGCATTGGAACTTCAAAACGATCCTTTTCAGCATCAACAAATCTTACTCGAAGTCGTTCACTATCGAGTCCGATTATCTCAACGTTTACATTATCAATTTCATCAGGGAAACCAGAGGCGGTTTTACGAACAAGTTTGAGCGTTGCATTGTTATCACCTTGTTTGATATCAGCAACATCATAAAGCTTGTAGTCACTTGGGTAGAAACAGTAAGGTATATTAAGAGGTATATTACGTTTGCCTGGTGAAAAAATAGAGAAATTGTTAGTCAACATAGAAAAGATTCATTTTAAAATTGAAGTTAAAGTCGCGAAATCGAGTTTTTTCAAGAGTAAAATTTTCAAAGGCTGAGTGCTTAAGTTAAATAGTGATCATCTGATATGGAAAGTTATCAATAACATAACTTGTAATAAAACTTGTGGATTCTCAAACTCAAAACCCGATCATTTATTTAGAATGGTCGTACAAATAAAACTGACAATCTGACAATCCACAAAGTTTCATGATGCAGTGATACTTACTTCTTGTAACAGGAACCCAACAACATCCTCTTGATTCACAAACTTGCTGGTTAACAGGTTCATCAGGGTTACAATCAAATTTACTTTCATTGGGCAAAGTACATTGTGGAGATTTCGGGTCAGCTTTGCTAGGGGCAGGTGCTCTAAAAACACCACCCGAAGTAAAACTGGACTCGTAATAAGTTGTTATCAAAGGTTTTGAATCGTCCTTTTGCCAATCAACGAAGGGTTCGTCGATTGTTGTCTCGAGTAACCATACATTGTATAAAACGTAACCAGTTATGATAGAAATGGCAACAAAATTCAACAATGTAACGATGATTATAAATCGTCGGAAAGAAATACCACGCGATTGTGGTTCTTCACTAGGATATAAATAAGGTGATTCACAAAATTTTGGCTTCTTTTCCTCCATGGTTGAAGCTGATCAAATAAATCATGAAATAAATTTTTTTAACTTTTAACATCCTAGTTATAAATAAACGATCAGAAACAAAATACACCTAAATCGAGATTACTTGATCAATCTTTACAAATCATAACAATTATCACAGTAAAATTTTATCACAGACTTTATCAACATCTGAAAGAGTCCAAAGTTTACAGAACGAAAGGGTTTTTTACCGCTAGATGGTGTTTTTTATGAAAATCTGATTGGCTTGCAATTGCTTGAAATATACGTTACCATGGAAACAATGTGACCTTTTCTGTGAATCAAATTTGTTTAAATCGTTCATATTTACTTTTATTTATTCTGTTATGATTCCGTTTGTTGGTTTAAGGCTGAATTATTCTGGTTTTGTCAAGTGACTTGTCGAATTGGCTTTCAAAAGGCTTCAGAAATTATTGACTCTGATGCTAAGGATTATCAATCAACTTCAACAGGTGATATTATATTTTCTCATTACTCATACTTTCTAGAAAATTTTATCTTCCAATATTCACAAAATTTATTTTTCTTTTTTATTTATTCTGTAATTAGGAGGCGGTGGCAGCTATCTCCACTTCCAGCATGGTATCAGTCACAATAAAAGCAATCGAGTTATCAATTTGATTCATTGTTATCATTTTGCCTCAAATTTTTGATTTAAGTGTTTTTCTTGGTACCTGGATTTGACACAATCTAATTATTTCCTTGTTCTGCTAATCTTGGACCAACTGAATAACTATGAATAACTGGGCGTAACTGGATTAAACCCATGAGCTCATCGATTATATAATCTATCTAAGATTCACCTATCTGATTTTTGGTAACTTTTTATGTTGCAATGTAATTTCAGACTTCCTTCTCTCTCGGATGTTTATATCTATCACTGATCTATCCGAATTGAGCATGTTTTAATCCATTTAATCAGCAAACTCATCGGTAATCAGGAGTCAATTATCGAAACGATTGTTTCATTGTCAAAGAATCTCCCTGATGATCTTATATCTTATTTTCCGATCTGATATCAGGTCCTAATTTTTGTTGTTGAAGGTGTTTTGGTTAACTATTCATTAGGTTAACAACATAATACCTTTATGTAAACAAATGCAGTCATTCCAGTCTGAGTCGGTTCGCTGTGGATTCTTTGCAAAATATCTAACCACCGGCTAGTTCTAAATAAGATTGGACATTGTCGTTTTGAAATAAAACAATTTATGGGTGGAAAGAATAAGCAGGTGTCAAGTTATCAGCTACATCATTTTTTAAAAAGCTGATTTAACTAACTATGGAATTGGATCAGAGGACAGATTTGCAATGGTGAAAAAAATAATCAATCGGAACATTCTGGCTCTAGATTTAATCAGCGTTACATCTATACTGATAGCATTGAGCGACATTGAATTTTATGTACCAACTATCTTTACATCTAAAACATCATGGGAATTTGGATATAATTAGCTGTTGACTCTTTTCAAAACGCCAAGCTGAACAAATAATGTTTTTGAATAATTCAGTAACATCCTAAAATCTATATGGCAACCGATAAAAACATCTCCATGGCTAGTCCAATCATTCTGGTATTTCAACACTCACCAGTGCTTGTGTCTATGAAACGTTGAAAATAACCCAAAAGGAGTTTTTTGGTGGATATGATTTGAAATTTTTTTTTATTGGTTCAACATAAGTGAATTAATTTCTCAAAATTTGTCGCCTTATTGACTGGACAATTTTATTTAATTGGTGCAGCCAGTTCTGTCATTTGTCAATAGCTCAGTGACTCCTTTGGTTTCCAGTAATTTAGTCAATTCATCGACCAATGCAACGTCCAATGTTGGGGTTCTTGAAAGGATCCAACCAGAAACTAATGAAAGGCATAAGAAATATAAATAAATAGCTTGAATAGCTGATCAAGAGGAGTTAAAATTATTCTAATTGAAATCTTACGTGAATACATATCAGCAGTAATTTGGACACATGAAATTAAGGATGAATATGTTTCATAGTCAGTCTTAATTACCCAATAGCTTGCAGTTGGTGCTCCTGTAAAATAATCATTCAGCAGTTAGATTGAATGTTATCAAGATTGACTTGAAAAACTTACCTGGGAATATCTCAACACTCAAAAAGTTTGGTTGGTCTGGGTTGACAATTGAGGCAGTCAAGTAAACAACAACATTGTCGCCTCTGTGAGAAGTATAAATAGATGAGTTGGTTTAAAGTTTGATTTCAATCACTTCGATATAGATCTTCCACATCATTACGAACAAATCATAGACATTTGGGAAACCTGATTCAGTTTATGGTTCAAGACCAAATAATATTTTCCAACCGTCTAATTGATTGTCACTGATTTGATAAAGAAAATGAAAGCTTGTTCAACTCACTCGGAATTGACTCCAGAATTGGTTACATTAATTTTACCATCACTTCGAAGACTGTAATTTGCAGTTGAACATTTAACACCCTTTTCGCTTGGAGTATCCGATCTTTTGATTTCATACCAACGACCAAGATATCTGGACACTTCGAAATCAGTCTTTTCATCACCTGGAGTTGGACACTTACCGATCTTTGGAGTTGCGGCAAAGCAACATCCAATTAGAGCTGAAATTAGAATGATTGATTTCATGTTTTATCGCTGAATCGAAGACGAAATTTAAATTTGAAAAACTAAAAAGTTTAAATTTTCTAGAGTGTTGATTAGTTTGTTGAAAACAATGAATTTAAAAAAACCTCATTTAATCAATTGCTTATATACGCGTTGTAATGAAGGGAAATTATCTCAGAGATAATCATGTTATTGCTAGTACAATACAGTAAATTAATTTAATCATGTTTACGATCATAATGGAACAAAATGCTTTTAATTATCGCAGTCCTATTTAATGAGACCCTTAGTACCATTGTTATATTTGCAGATTTTTAGTGATTTCTTGTTCTCAGAATAGTGTTGATAACTTATTTATAAACACAAGCGATAAATTGGGCACTCAGTTGGCACTCGTAATGCGCTCTAAATGAGCGAAGAGAATCAATATATTTCTTGGACTAAACACGCACTAACAGGAAGATGGCAACCTTTTGTACAACATTTTATGTAATGATGTGAAATATTTAGTTGAAATTAGTATTGACTTCTGATAGACATTTCGAAAAGCAATGAAATCTTTGCAAATTAATCATACAAATGGAAACCATTTTGATGCCATGAAATAGTCCTTTCAATTTTCTCTCTTTTAGAACCAAGATCAAAAGTAATGCCGAATTTCAAGACAAAATAGAGCCAAAAATGCCAAAACCTAATGGCACAAATTTGGCCCGGTTTAGCAATCATCTTCATAACTTTCCACCTTTCTAGCAAATGACAATTAAGTTTTTTTGAAAGGGATCTCCGATGCATTTCAGTTTGCTAATATATGAACCGCCCAACGTATTTTGTTTTTCAATTTTATAATAAGCTATATTTACTACTTGCCTTTAATAATTGTGTTATCCCATGAATTGGATTGTTAGGAAGGTTTGTATCAGGATAATGAGTAAACTTTAATTTAGTTTTGAGTAGAAAGTGAAAGTTGGTTTGAGTTGGTTGCCTTATGTTTCAGTGTAAATGGTTTTGTAGCACGAAAAACCGTCCCTCTTCAAATGTTACACAAGAGGACATTGGAACTAGGTCTTCTAGGTCTTTAGGTCTTTTTTTAGGTCTTTTCGAAACTTCCGCGTTTCATCTCGATCGCGATTTAAAGTTAAAACAATTTTTGATACTTTCTAGCGAGCTATTGATGACAAAGCGCTGAAATTTTGTTTATATTTAGTTTTCAGTTAGGTCTATCGATTCTGGAAAGCGGTTAGGTCATTTAGCTTCAACCGATACTTAGTTGATAATGCTTCTATCGTACTTGGTCCTGATCAGCTCAAAACGGGTCTTATATTATCGGCTATAAGCTAATGTGAACTTCTTTCATATGATCTGTAATTCACCATTTTTGAAGACAAGCTCTAGCTTCTGAAAAGTTACGCGCTCGAGTGGAAGTTTGTATTTTGACGATTTGCTCAAAATAAAAATATCTTTTGACACTTTTCACATTTTTAATATTGATGAATCACTGTTCAGAGTTAACTCAGTAACTCAAAACGTATTAGTTTAATTTCTGAAGATGAAATAAACGCTATTTCGACATTGTATTTTTGTAGTATTTTGTTATGGATCTGAAACTAATAGTAATCAGTTTGGGTAACCAAAAACTTCAGTTATGGTTCTATTTTTCAATTTTGATTGTATAAGGATTAATTGAATAATGAAAAAATTTTGCTCTAGACATTTCGAGCAAAATTAACATTGCGAAGTGAGTAATTGCATCCAAAACCTTTTTTATTGTCGGGATACATGATTATAATTAATTTTCATAATACTTTGGTGAGCTTGATTTTGGGCTTTAATATGAAAATATAAATCATGATGAGTACTATTATAATTGATAGTTGAATTGCAACCGACACAGCCTATTTCATTCTTACGAGGGAAGGTGCCTAAGTGGTACGGTTCGATTCGGGAAATTTTATGATAAATCGATAGAAATGTGTGAAAAAACATGTCTGGTGAAATTTTAGGACTTGCAAATTTTCGCTTCAATTTTTATTCAAGTTTTCAATGCTTTTAGTCAACTTTGCCTATGAAAAATGACCATTATGAAGCTGTGAACAAGATTCATTTTGTTGCTTTTTTA